ATCTTTAGAAAGAAGTTGAGAGTAGTTCTTTGCAAAATTTATCTTAAGAAATCAAAAATTGATTCTTGAAGAGGACCAATTGCGAACCAAGGTTGAAATCAAACCTAAAGGCACAAATCCATGCACCTTTGGCAATTTTGAGGTTCTTTGGTTGATTAGAGAGTGGGATTTGAGAGTAGACTAGAGAGGGATTTTTTGGGCATTTACTTTAAGCAATTTGAGTATACATTGACTTTGTAAAGGCTTTTTTGAAGTTAAAGCTATCTGTAGTGACTTTGGAATTTTAAGAAATATAAAGAGCTTATACTTTGAAGAATTTTGTGAGATTGGTAAATGATCTATGAGTGAAAATTTGTAATTGAGTGGTTGATATTTTATGAAATCTATGTTGTAAGTTTAAGCTTAATTTAACTATTCATTCAAATATTATTAAAATTTAAACATATTAGAGTCTTAAAAAATTGGAGTTTAGAGGACTAATGAATATTTATAAGATGTACAACAATCTGAATGTTGGATTGAATTAAAATTTTGAAAATAGTAGTAGACTTGATTTTTAATATTTGTGCAAAATCTAAAAGACATTAAATGGTAAAATTAATAGATATTAGCACTATAAGATTGACATCAAAGTTATAAAAAAAAAGTTGGTCAATATCCAAGAAAATTTTAGGATTTATCTTTTATTTGATAAGTTTCATCTTCTTTAGATTATTTGTACTTGTTTTCAACTTATTAATTAAGAAGTGAAAAAAATTATTGTTAAAATAATTATTAAAATTTTAATTTATTATAGAATTAATTAAGAGTTTTTAAAAATTAAAATTTGATTAAGATTTCATTAGAATTTGATTTAGGCTTAAAGATTTAATTAAGATTTGATTACAGTTTTTTAGGATTAAAGATTTGATTAGGATTTAATTTTTTTTAAAATAGGATTTAAGGTTTAATTAAATTTTTAATAATATTTACTTAAGATTTTTATTTTTATTATTTTAAAAATATTTCTTTATTATTTTTTAAATATTTTTGTAAAATTATTTATGATTTCTTTATGTTTCTTTTATAATTTCTTTAAGACTTTAATTGATTTTTTAAAGACTTAATTAGAATTATTTATTTTTAATTAGGATTTATTTAAGATTATATTAGGATATTTAGACCTTGTTGTTGCAATTTCCAATTTATCATTCACAACCAAGTGCCATGTGTATTCTCAAACAATGTTTCATATAATATAACATCATTAATAAGAGTGAAAAAGGCTTTATTCTTACTTCCATATATGTTATCTAACTAGGAGTTATGTAGCAACATTCCATAATACCTTTAATACATGTTCAATTTGCAAGATCCTTGTCTAACTTATAAGACAAATTTCTTACATGTACACCATGTGGCCGACTTGTACCACAAGTTACCAACATCTGTGATTTGAAGATTGAAGCCTTTCTCATTCTTACTTTGGTTAATATTTTTTTTTAATCTTTAGGCTTATTTTTAAAGATTCTAATATTTTTATCTTTAGCAATAGTTATTTTAGTTTCAATATCATAGCTATTTTTGAGTGAATGTTTATTCTTTTCTAGTAAAACAAGAATGTATTGACTCTTTGGTTGTTTTGTAATTCATGTCTTTGGTACTAATGTGCCATCTATTTTGATTAAAAAATAAGTATTTAGGTTTTTTTACATTAGAATTTATATATATATATATATATATATCATTTTCTATAAATTATAGAGATTATAAAGTCATAAAATTGAGTAATCTATTATGTATAATAGATTTATTTAAATTATTTAAATTAAGAATTAGGTTATTTTATTACATAAATTTTTTCTATATAAATGATTAATTTATAAAAAAAATTAATAGAAAAATATTAAAATTAACTTACTATATATTAATATCTATTAATAATTTATATAATTTTTTTGATGAAATTTTTTTGTGTTCGACCATAATAAGAATGTTCTACAAGATTTATTAAGTGCATATATATAAATTATTATCTACAAGTCTTTTAAAAGGCTTTAGAAAATAATTTTAAATCATCTACAAAAATAATGGCTTTATTTAAGGTTTTTGAATATAACAAAGAAATAAAAGTTAAAATGCCTATCTTATATGAATTATCTTTAAATATGTAGCTTATATAATCTTAAGAAAACTTTATACTAATATATTCTTATTTAATCAAATACGATAAGCTTTTATATCTAGTCAAATAATTCAAAAGCTAGTAAAGAATGTGTTATAGATAGATATAGCTAAAAGGATTATACACAATTATAATTTTATAAAAATAGTATTATTTCTAATCAATATAAGATTATTTAATCAAATTCATTAATTAGATTTAATTTGGAATAAAGTTGGAGATTTCAATTCAATATTCTCAATGATAGAAACATCTTTTTATCTTGGTTTTTAGTCGAATTAATCCAACGGCTATGTAAGAGATGAAATACAAGTAGAATCTTCATATCTCAATTGCTATCTGAAAAGCTTTCTATCTATATTAATATTAAAATATTATTTAAATAAATTTTTATAAATTATTAAAATACATATTACTATATTACTTAGAAAGAGATAATCTTTCTATAAATATTTATTTTTAGACAATAAATATAGTATTAAGATTTTATTTTAATTTAATTTTTACTATTATCTATTGTTGAAATTTTTCCACAAGTTCATTATATTATCTTTTACAATACTATATATATATATATATATATATGTATTAACTCTTTTTTATAAAATACCACATTGTGTTTTATATCTAATCTATTGGAAGCTTTAAATTTAATGCCTAACCTCATATTTATCTTGAAGAAGATTTACCACCTAATAAAGTATTTTTTTTTTAAAAAAAACTTATAACTAAAGAAAATAACATAATTAAAATTTGTTGCATACAGTCTTTTCTTAGGATCAAATACTATACATTGAATGGAATTGTTTTGTACTACAAACTAGAGAAAGACCAAATAAAAAATAATCCCTACAAACTCACATTCAAAAAATCTTCAAGAGCCTTTGAGTACATATACATATTATAAATAGGACCAACAACATAGAGATTATAGGTTGTTAATAAGGTAGCCAAAGAATCTAAACATGTCATCTTAGTAACACCCTAGTAATTTTATTTAGCTTATCATAACATGTTAAGTGATTTAACAAAATAAAGATATTGTTTTACAAATATATGGGACCAATATAAGAATTTGTTAGAGAATCTTAACTTTTTACTTGCACAAGTGATGAAAAAAAAGTGGATTGATTTTGTGATCATGATATTTGAGAAGATTCAACCTTCATAAGGATGCCAAGACAAATAGCCCCTACATATCAAATATATACACTTTTGATTTTTATCTTTTAAATCATAAAAGATTTAAAACAATTCAAAAGATAAAAGTGATTGCAGACAAACTTTGGTAGTTAGTTTTTCATTAATATAATTACAACTCTATTAAAAAAAATTTATTAGTAAAACAATCAAATCTCATCTTTTTTAAAACATTCGGATCTAGAATACCATCAAAAAATACTTGAGCAACATAAAATATCTTAGCCACAATACATAAATACACACATAGCTATAGATATTGCTCAAATATTTTTGTGTGATTTTTTTCTTATCTAATGTTCATCTCAAATTAACATCTCTTCTTGTGTGTTATGCACTTAATTGACTACGATTTTGCATTCTAAATGATTTGTTATGTCTTCCAAAAACTACATTGATATCTCTTCTACCTCTGTATCATAGCATATCATATTAACCTCTCTTAGGATGCTATAACTTGTTTTCTCAATAGAATTTTTTTTTGTCTTGGTGTTTTAAGTTTTGAACCTTGGATTTCATTAAAGAATATTTTAGATAATCTTGTTGCAACACACCCATCACCTTTGCCATGTTGTATTCTTTTCCAAGATTAAATTTAAAATCTTCATTAACCATTCCTGTGCTAGTTTGTATCCCAGTTAAACTGCTCTTTCTTTTTTGCTATAAACCATAATATTCAAATGTATAATCATAAGGAAATACAATTAAAAACCCATGATAATATTTAAAATAATAAAACGATTATTTAAAATAATACTATGCATGATCATACATGATTAAAATGAGACAATATTATTATTAAAATATGAGTATTATTTTTATTTGTTATTATTATTATTATTATTATTATTATTTTATTAATCTTAAACTAATGTGGGGTTACACCAACTCCTGAAAGATTTTTGCAGGATCATTTAAGCTGGTATCCAGGGAAAACTAATCCTAGATAAACAAGCATCCCAATTGTTTAAGGTTTAGGGTCAGGTTTAGGATTGCTAGATGGATATCCCCCTTTTGCTGCATGGACATTCATGTGCATACACAATAAAACTCTTGTTTACACTAAAACAAAATTAGGATAAATTTACAATAAAAAAAAATTCCAAATAGGAGTGAATATTTTTAAAAAGTTTATGAAATAATCACATAAATTGTATTATGAAATTCTATTAAATTCAATCAAGAAAAAGAAAAAGAAAAGAATACCATAAACCATTGCACAAAAATCTTTTAGTTTAAGTTTATCCTATTTCTTTTTAATATAAATAATAAATTTACTGTATATGGGAGATATGTGGCACGAAGGTGTCCATGCAATAAACGGGGATGTCCAGATGACGATTCCCTTGATTAATTCTCCACTTCTTCCCTGCTGTTTGTTCGCTATCACTAAATACCTAACCCACACTAAATTTACAATTCTCTCAGAGCTTCCAACAAGCCTCTCACTAAGTAAAAGAAAAAACAATACCCACCTGTTGGAGCACAGTGAGAACGCCACGTTCCCATCCTCCAACCTCGGCTTCCTTTTACCTTTTTTTTTCGCTTTCCTGAGTTACTTCAACGAAGATGCATGCACATGGCCGGGTTTTGAGTGCAGAGGATGTGGACGAGAGGCAGCTTGTTGCTCGAAACCAATTTTTGAAAAGCTTGTCCGTTGTTCCGAAGAACTAATTGTTGACAGTGGCCTTCTTCGGTGTTTAGCTTTGTTTTGTTTTTTGTTTTTTATTTTTGTATTTTTTAATTGTAGTAGGCAACGGAGCCCTTTGTTTTTTTGCATTTTAGCATTAGGTGCAGTTAGTTGATTCTTCCTGAGGTTTTCAAACTTCCGGGGAGGGCGCGAATTGGAGTCGAGGTCGGTTGAGATCACCACATGTTTCTATCTCAAATTATGAGCGTTTCCCTTGCTCCTGTGGTTGATTTATGAACCCGAAATTGCCCGGGGCGTGATAACGAGCTGTAATGAATGGTTACGGAGGGCTGGTTTGATTCGATTTGATTTGATTTGAAGTGCGCATAGCCTATCTTTATACGTGTTTGTGTCGATGCTAATTTTGTAGTGAGGTCGCTGCAGTGTGTGGATACAATTTGAATTTGAAGGAGATGTTGTTTGCAATATTGTTGAATGATTCGATCCTGCGTGGAGGAGTGCTAGACGATGCTCTGAAAGTCGCTAGAAGGTTAGAGGCGAACGTTATGCAGTGTGCTAAATTGACGAATTGTGTGGGACACTTGAGAAATTGGGCTCGACACTCGACTCAGAAGTGATGTTAGTCTTATACAAGCAATTTAGTCAGCTGTAATTTAAGTCCTGGTAAGGATTGTATGCAGATTGGTATGCATGGGTAGATATACTCACTTTGGGACTTGAGGTAATTCAAAAACCCTAGATAGTTAACATGTATGAATGTGATAGTGTTGAGGATTTGTTGACTATATGCAAGCGTCATCTTTATTCTCTTAGTGTAACTTTAAGTGAGCCAAGTAGCGGCCGACATCTGCTCAGGAATAGAGAGAAGCGAAATTGAGAGCTATTAACAAGCTTGCTATATCAGTAAAATATTTGAAACACCGTTAATTTGTAGAGTAACGTGATCTAGTTCCGTTCAACTGGAAGCGATTGGTAATGTTCCATCCTTTCCGTGCTTCACATTTGTGCCTGGCTCTTCAAAATAGAGTGTTTGAACACTGCGATGCTCACTTGCAATTTAAAAGTAATTTACGTCAAATTTACAATCTGAATTGCATTGGCAACACTTTTCGAATTCTTCTTAGAAATGAGGCAAATAACCATCTGAAGGTTGCAGGCAAGGATCATCGGAATGGGGGATGAACCAGCATGGCACTCACAAACTGCGTACCTCATATACCAGCTGCTGGGTTGGTTGGCTTTCACAGCTTGGTCTATCAGCTTTTGGCCTCAAGTCATCCTGAACTACAGACGAAAAAGGTAACGAAGCCATGCAGACAATTGACACACCTTCGATTGGAGTTTATGTTGTAATTTTAGGTCAAGCTTGGCTGATTGAGTGTAATGTATGAGCTTCACATGTTCACTCAGGTGTGTTTTGGAAATACGCATTATATGATGGAGTATATCATGTAATATGCTTCGTGCTTCTAGATAATTGTGTGCTTTTGCTGTCTTGTGCAGCGTGGTCGGTTTACACTTCGACTTTGTCGTCTTCAACCTCACTAAGCACTCTTCATACTTGATCTACAATGCTGTTCTTTACTTCAGCACTGTCGTCCAACGTCAGTATCATGAGAAATATGGCTTTGATGAGGTACATCGGTCAGAATTCAAATTTTCCTTTTTTGTTTATTTTTTACTTTTGTTTCTCTTATCGTTTTCTTTTCTGCGCTAACGTGTCCTATGCACTAAAACAGCAACTAATATTTCGAAAATGGTGGATGGGTGTCCACACATAATGAAAGTATTTAATGTAGATGCTTACCATCTGAAACTGTACTCTGGTCGATTACGTTTACGAATGTCTGTAGTAGAGCTATGCATATCTCTTAAATTTGAAAAGTAATTTCTCCTTGTACTATAGGTTCTTAAAGTAAGTCTTCCAGCTGTGCAGTTCTGGAGTTTCCGTAAATTACATGTCAAGTTCAGTTTTGATCGTGTCCCTTTCTAACAGTACTAGCTAATCGGATTCATTTTTTTGACAAACAGTTGATTCCAGTAGCACCAAGTGATGTAGCATTCTCGACTCATGCTGTACTTCTAACATCAGCTATGGCTGTACAATTATTTTTGTACGAGGTACTTGATCTGAACATATCACCTCACCTGCTCCACCTCCACTTTACTGTCCCAAACAATACTACCTCTCTAAGTTCCAATGTCTGGTTCACTATCAAGGTCTAAAGATGTTATTACATTATTGCAACTCGTGAGTCTCTATTTTGCGATTTTCTTGAAGTTAGCTTCGTTGTACTACTTGATTAGACAAGTACGGAGTTTGATTAATATTGGAGTGTTTGGTGGTGTTGTCTCATCTGAAATGTAGAGGGGTGGGCAAAAGCTTTCAAGCTTCTGTAAAGCCACATCAAGCTTCGTATGGATAGAAGCCCTAATCATATTGGTGGTATCATGGGTGCACAAGGACTGGCTTTCGCTGATCCAGAACTTCAAGTTAGTATCTTTATGCAATTACACCTTATTGCCCTATTGCGTATATGTTGTTTCGTTTCTAGGCCATACCATTTTGAAGGGTTTACTTTCGTAGTGCTTCTTGCGGCTAATATTCTGTTGGCAAGAAAATTTGAAGTCCAATGCAAAGTTGTTTTCAATCTGGTAGATCACTTTGCTTCATCCTTTTCGTAAAAGGAAGAGTTTCTATATTTCTTATATAGATCTGAAATCTATTCGTAGAGTCCGTGTATCTATTGGTGTCATGCTTGAAGCTCACGTAGGATTTCCAAAACTTCGCACCAGTTGGCTTATGTTGTTATATTTCGCAATTGCAGTAACATTCAACTCCTCATGACAACCATTAAGTACATACCACAGGTGAGTTTCTTTTCTTGCGATGATTATGCTTGACATTTAAAACTACGCTCCTCTTCTGTCTAATTTACAAAAGATGTTAGAGATTTCTGAAAAAATTCGAAGATACGGTTTTGGTTCTGGATGTAAATCATAGCTAGATTTTGTCGGAAGCGAAGCTCTACACATGTTCGACAACTACTTGAGAGCCTGCTCGAGAATCGACTCTTGTCGCAACCGTAGCTAAATTGCTGCACATGAGCAATTATTCAGGTGATTTTTAATATTCAAAGGAAGAGCACAGATGGATGGAGTGTATCGAACATTCTCCTCGATTTGACGGGTGGCATTGCAAACTTTTCACAGATGTTAACACAATCCCTTGATCAGAGTATGTAATCCTTTCTTCCACTTTTCTCAGATTTACCTCGGATTTGGCACGCATGTCCTACATGTAATTGTCATCAAAAGTTTCAAGCACAGCCAACCCCAAATTGTGACAATGACCGGGTGTAGACTTTTTTAATGCGAAAATGACCTTTCACACGTACCTCTTTCTGTATTGTGCAGAATCGTTCGTTAATTTCTCCGGAAACGTCGGCAAAGTGGGACTATCTTTGGTTAGTGCATTGAAGCGTCGCACAAACTTCAGAATGCGTCTTTGACATTGATGATCTAGCCTGTTCGTGTGATGACATCAGCCTCAGAAGAAATCTGCACAGAACCATATTAACACAATCACATTTTAGTGGCATCGCAAGATAATGAATTTTGTGGTCATGAGTGGGTGCAGTTGTCGGTGGCATTCGACCTTATCTTCATTGTACAGCATTTCTGCCTCTACCCCGAACATCCTGGGGTTCCTCAGGAAGGCTACCACGAAGTTGGAGATTATAGTGTCGTCTTTTCAGTGGACCCTGGACTCGGTAGCGATGAGCGAGATCAGGGCGACGACCATGCGCAGAAGACACCACCTCCTTGAAATCGGATCGTTCTATTAAGTAAAATCATCACGAGATTTACAGATTGGAGTTCTTTCAATTGAATATAAAAGCTGGTGTTGGTCTTACGAACCACGAATGTTCCAAAGTTTCAGCTAGCACGAGGATCTGTTTGCGATCCTCCTTTCATCCTCTCCTTTACCGGAGCTCAAGAAATGAAACTAGGTACGTGTGTTTTTTGGCGTCCAAGTGTCTTTTCCACCAGCGACATAAGACATGCTATCCATTCTTACGTATAAATCTTCTCCAGCACATGGTGTCAGTACAACTCTTCGCTACTTAGCCGTGAGCAACCCCATCTTCAGTACCCAAAAAGTTCCTTGCTCCCTAGGAAACTGCAGATGCCAGCATCCAGAAAGGTAGCATATTGTACAGTACAACCACTTTTCCATAGATTGTTTCAATTTCTTATTAGCGACTTGAATTTCATAATGTTCTTGTGATTTATTATTTATTTGTTTTTGTTTATTCCAACATTTGTTACAGTTGTTGGCCATTTTTTTTACCATGTTAGTTAAGCTAAAATGTTGTTTCCATATTTTAAAAAGTCCATTGAGTCAACCAAATTGTCGTACTCCATACGTCGTCTTCACAATATATTGTGTATGTGTGTGTAAGTATGCCGCTATATATATATATATATATATATATATATATACTTACATACACATACATATACAATTCTTTGGTGACTTCTAGTCCAAAATATGGAAGGGCTCTCAAACTTTTTACATTCTTATTACATTGTTTATTATTATATGATTCTAGAAAACTTAACATGTAAGCTAATCAACTTAGAACACCTTGACTCCTTTTATGACTTAATATTTCAGCAACATTTGTTCTGCTTGTAAGTCAAGGCCTCATGTTGTAGAACAAAGACAATAGTATTTGTTGTTCAAGAGAATTTTTTTCCATGAAGAAGAAGGGTTTAAAAACATAAATTCAGCTCCTACGACAGAGGTACTCAAAACCATGTAAGTTTTGAACGTAAGTCTCATTATTGATTCAAAGGGAGGCCTGCAATCTAATCTTATCATGTTGCATAATCAGAGCTCAGCTTGGACTCAAATCTGCACCGCCTCATCCTTTAGTTGAATCTTACATTCGATGTGCTCCATTTCATGAGTGCTAGGAGATCAAGCTCATACTCTATGTTAAAACAGAGAGCGAGATGTGTTCACCGACAGTTTTCACGTATGTACAGAACTTTCTACAGAATTAAGCAAACGAGAACTGTGGTATTAATCTTTCGGTCCTTGTGGACGGCAGAATAGCATATTTGGGCTTTTGGAAATCATAACACCCGTCAATGAAGTCCAATAAGTAAGCCACATGGGTGTTGCAAATCATCCACTCTCAACCAGATACGAGGTCGTGTTGATAACCCCCCTAACCAGTGGTTATGATTTGATCAAAGCAAAATAGAGCAAGACAATCAGAGCCAAGGAGCATATAATTTGATGAAGCATACGGTTAGGGATAGCGCAAACCAATTGGGTTCATTTAGAGAGATTATTGGAGATTGTGAGGTACAACCAACATTTGTGAGTGCCTCTCAAGCCATTTCAGCTGTTCATCACAAGGAGACACACTTGAAATGCCTACATGTTTATCCTTGCTAAATCATCAACATTGGTCGACGAGTTCTTCAAAATGAACTAAAAATCGCTGCTGGGTTCCGTCAGAGCCAGAGCCGGTTCCGTTCCAAGACATGCTCGAAGGGCTGGTAATCGTTACTACTATGGAACAAATAGCTCCATCATAAGTAGGTCTTCTTAGAAATGATCTGCTGAGTATTATATTGTGACCTTGTAGCTCTGCACAAAAGACACCAAACAAATATATCAATCCAGTCAGAATGGGCTCATACCATGCCTGCAAATTTAGAACTTCTTAATGACATGCCTACAAAAGAGGACGTCATGCAAAGTATGTCAGATGAGGGGGAATGAGACAGTATCACTATCAGTTTTACATTAAACTTCCCAGATACAACATACCTTTACAGTTTTCAGTACATCTTTGGCAGTGGGATCGTTCTTGAAATGGTCATGCACAGGCTAATGCAATTAAAGGCATAGAAGTATCAGCATATTGACCAACTTCATTGTCTAGACCGTCCATGAAAGATGTGAATGCCAAAGAATAAGTAAGAAAAAAGTCCAGTCAATAACCTGGGAATTCGTTTTCAACGTTTTGAAAATCGATCTTAATGGAATGCGTGAAACTAGGTAAGACAATCGCCATCACAGGATGAAGTGATTCTCACGCTTGGATCACAATGCGGGCGCTGGATCTACGTCACTTAAACGAAGTGGAAAAAATAATGTGAATAGTGATGAAGTGCAGTAAGAGATCTTTTACTCACGAGCTGATGACCAACTACTATCTAGAAACAAACCTGCATAATCTTGTTGAGTCCAGACGAAAGCGCGAGTTTTAAATCCGCAGGGTGCATCAATCCTTCAGTGAAGTCTTTTTTCAACTCTTCAATGTCGGTGTAAGTTCTGAAAAAAGAGTCTTACCCTCATCGGTACATATTTCGTTTCGAAGGACTTGAGTGAGTAAAATAATATGCAAGGCAGAGAATTAGGTGCCACTGATCCTTCGGAGGAAACAGCACGAAGGTAATGCACGATATCAACGAACACAATATGGAGGAAAAATCTTACTTGTTTCCACCTTTTTTTTCATCACGTTGGACTTCGAATCGGTTGAACCACAGCAAGACGATGCACTAGTTGTACTCCATGCATGGGTTTCCTGCAATTTCCTGGGGTGGACAGCAAGCTTGTTTGATCTTCTTATTCACATCAGCATGCAGTTCAAAGACGAAACAGCTTAATATATGTTTCGCGTTCAAACTGAATTCTCTATGGAAGCTTTCTTATCATGCACAACAGCAACGCATGGAGGAGGACGTAATGTAGCCCCTCCTAACACCGTGTGAGTATTTGAAGGGAGGATACAGACAAGTGGGGCATTTCTCAGGTGCATGACATAAACTCCATGCCTGCTCATCTACCAACAGTTTTGAAGATCCATAAGCGTGTTAATCCAAAAGAGTCTTTACCTCGTCATCCTCCATGTAGATAGCGGAATTTGGGTCGCTTTTCGACATTTTTTCTTGACCAGCTAATAGACCAGGAAGCATATCTCTGACAATTCAAGGCCAAAACTACTCCCATCTTTGACCTGAGATAGCCGGAGCAAAGCTTCTTACTAACTATATCACCTAGTTCGCTAGACATCCAGAACTGTATTATCGCAAATTGTATTAGTTGATTCAAAAAAGCGAAATAGGTGACGAAAAGAGTGGGCAGGATACGATGCGAGAGGATGATAGGTTTGAGTTTCTGCTTAATTTGATCGCAGTATTCTCAAGCAAGCATATTCACCCGTAGGTGACAATTTCCGAGCTGACAAATGTCAGTCTTAATGAAAAAGATGTCTGCGCATTGCATGCACGGGTAAAAAATTTGTCCGACAGACATATCCTCTGCTTCTGTCCGGCCATGATGGTGCAACATCTGGTAATTCTTTTCAGAGTGTTGCGGCGAGCTATGTCCATGACAAGAGGCCAGTACGTAGCAGCATTGCCATTAATCTGCTCCGAAGACCACTAAAACTCCGCCCTCTCCAAATTCATACCAGCAGCCTTCCACATCTCAATCATGTACCGCCCAACTGTCTGAATCTTCTTCAAGTCTCCATCCATCTTGTTATTCAACTGCGAGAACCAATCCGCAATCCAAAGCTAGAACACACACACCTTCATGATCCCCTGCGCAATATGCATCCGACCCGACGGCTCAAATCCATCGTAACAAACGGGATCCTTCTTTTTAGCCAACATATTCCGCAGATCAGCGAAGTCGTCGTCTTCCGGAATACACTTGTTGTTCCCCCCTGTGCTCAACATTAGCTTCAACTTTTCTTCTGAAGACAACTCCCCCTCCCCAACCGAAACAGACGCCGCCTCCTCCGCCACAGTTGCCATTGTCACCCGAGATCGACAGAACCATATTGCCAAAAGATCTGCTTGAGACACAGAAATTGCTACACAGCAGGCAATTCAAGCAACACATGGCATCGGAGCAGGAAAGCTTCTTAACCATCGAAATAGCCGCTGCCGCTGCCGCTGCCGCACATCTTCGGCGTTTTCGGCGGCGACGTGAGGCACACGTGAGCTTCAATGGAGCCTTCTGCACATTTTCCTCACGTGCTTAGTTGCTCATCTGCCAAGCTTCTTTTTTTTTTTTTTTTTTTTTTTTTTGATATTTGTTTGAGCAACTTAATATAAGACAACAACAACAACAACAATAAAATGTTCGATTCTATTTGTACAAGATTTGGGCATTAATTCAGCCTAGGCCAAGCTTGCTCTCTGAACACTTGTGTCAATATGGTGCCTTTTATATCCGTGTCATGCATTTGTAACTATGTTCTTGTCTCTTTCTGTGTGTTAGTGTGCTTTGAATTATTCTGTTCTTTATTTTATTTTGAGTTGATTATGAATCAGTTCTTTCATTCGTGTTTTCAGTCTTTTCAGCTCAAGTATATTTGTGTTTAGTTTTTTCATCGATAAAATGATTGCTGTTATGACATGCTTACTAAATGCCGACTATGTTTTCATGAAATGTTGTATATTCTTGAGTTTGATTCTTAGGTACACACAGTGAAATTTTGTTTTAAAAGTAAAGATAAGAAAAATATAGTTCAGTGTATGTGTGTATATATGTATATATGAGTTTCATGCAACATAAAAAGATATTATAATTTATTCAGGAAATAGTCATAGTAATTTAGAATGTAAGATACATTTTCAAAACATGTTTTTTTTTATAGTATTTTACCCACATCTAACTACATGCATGTATATATAAATATATTCACACATAAAAATAATGTTGTATCAAATATTTGAATATATGATTGTAGAATAGGTAAATAAACTTTGTAGTAAGTTACTGGTTGGTTATTGATAACCTTGAGAATTAGACTGATGGTTAGGCAGTTTAGTTGGTAACAGTAGGTTGTTAGTCGAATAAATGGTTAAGAATTCAAAGGGTCATAACCTTTGGAATCCGCTAGCCGATGGATCATCTTTTTGGTAGGATAAAGAGGTTGAGGAAAGAGAGATCGAAGCCAGACTGTGATAGTCGTAAGCCGAGGAAAGCTTGGTGCTACCTCTTTTTGTTTCTTTGTTGTTGATGAGTAAATGGATAGTTTCTGAATACTGAGAAGTTAGTCTGGAGTGCAAGATTGTGAGAGTCGTAAGCCAAGATATTGAATTCTGTGTGATGAAATGAGAAATTGAATACAATAGGCAAGCTGGAGATCAGTAATTGAATATATATAAACCACAAAGAGAGTAAGTAGGAGATGAACGGATAAGAATATAGAAGTATTGTTGAATTGATAGTCGTAGAATGGATTATGGGTTGAATTAAGATGGAAGAAGTAAGCCTTGGTATTTTGTAGTTGATAATTGATTTCAGA